AGTATTCTTCTATAGCCTTTCCTTTTTCCAAGAGCAAAGCAAACATCAATCTCTGCCTGTCTTGGAGCTGACAAAGGGCCATAGACAGACCGGCAGCCTGCCCGGCCCACTTTCTTTCCTGACCCACTGGCTCTAGCGCCAAGTTGGGACAAGGTTAGACTTCAAAATAAGTTGGATTTTGTCTCAGCAAATTCAGCTAGGGAGGTGGAAGGACACAGTGGCGTTATCGCCGTGGCAACCCCTGGAGCAGCTCATACAAGGGCAGCAGGTTTATTCAGAGCAAGGGAGTGAGTTTAGGGAAGAGGCAGGGACTAGAGAACCCAGGCCACCTCCACACAGACAAGGAGCTGGTGTGCATGCTAATTACGCTCACAAGCTCTTCGCAGAGTGCAAACTTCTTCATGGCAGGAATTCCATCACGATGGGAGACCCACATCCACCATATTGTGGGAGTCAGAATGCAAGCATATTGGTACAGCTACGTATTCACGTTTATACAAATATACAGATGGCTACAGCCGCATTTTGGGCTGAGGCATAGCAAAAGCTTTGAAGGGACTCGTACAATTGTTCTATAAGTACACTATTGCTATGAAAAGAGTGAATAGAAATAAATGATTCTCATGGTATGTGCCCATCTCCCCAGTATCAATTTTCCTCTATCCCCAAAGCAAAACAAAGCAAAACTGTAAGATAGCTTTCGTTGTGCTGGTACCATCTGGATGCATTTGACTTCAACTCCCAGCATCCCCCAGCCAGCTATGCTGGGAGTTATAGTCCAACATAGCTGCAGGGCACCAGTTTGAGGACAGCTGTCTTACAGATTAGCAGCCACTGATCATGTTAAGATTGCCATGTGCTGCAGACAAACAGCAGGGGGTGGCTTTCATGATCTTGCTCAGCTGTGAGCTTTCCTGGCTGGTTACTGTTGAAGGCAGACTATTTGGGCCTACTATGCAAGGTTAGTTCTGGGATATTCAGATATAGGAGCATCTGAACCAGTAATGAATGCTTGATAAGTCAGGCAGCAAAATACTCCTAACACTCTTTGTCCCAATGGGCAGCCTCAGAGACAGATTAGGCCTTCTGAATCCAACTCAAGCCCTGTTTGGGTGCTATCTATAAATTCACCCGGAGAGGGTCAGCTGTAGTCCCACTCCCCTCCTAGCATTTTCCATTGCTCTCTACTCACAAAGATGGTTCCCATGCACTTGGGAACACTGGAAAATCAGGGTTCAGAATCGCAGGAAGGGCCTCCATGGATACACGATGCTCCCTTCAGAAAGTCATCTCACCAAGCAGAGGGCAATATGAGGAAGAAGCTGGGTTAGACAGTCCCTCTCCTCTTGTGTTCATTACACATAGGTAAAGAGCATCTTAATAGAGCTCAAGACCTCAACAGCACTTTTCTCTGCTCTTCAGGATGTCTGACACAGCCTCTGTATGCCTTGCCATGCATGTGTGCCCAGGTATATGGATCTCATCACATGGGAGAAAAAAACAGAAGGACTTTGGGATCCACAACAAACAGCATGTACACAGAGCAGATAGGGCACACGTGAGGCGGTGTGCCACTTTAGGGCCTAATAGTTTAATACTATATAACTCTTTTTACAAAACGTTCAAATTAACTACCTCATTAATTCTCCTAACAACCCTATAAAAGCAGACAGGCCATATTAATGCCCCCATATTACAGGGAGCTGAGGCTGACACACAGTGAAATTTATGTACAAAAACATTTTTATATCGTCATTTGGTCCTAATAAGGCCCCCCAAGGCGATTTACCACAATAAAATTGCAATACAATTAAAGAGCATTAAAAACACCAGAGTAAAATAAGTACAACAGAACCCAAAGCCAGCAAGATTAAACCACAATAAAAGCCAGGCAGAATAAAATATCTTAACCACCTGCCTAATGAATAATAAGGAAGAAGGGAGCCTTGGGTCACACTTGTCAATTTCACTCTGAGACAGACCGTGTGGATGTGTTGCTTTTCATACTTATACAAGGCTCTGCAGTGCTTCTTACTCTCTTCAACCCTGATATCCTTCCAGACTGCCAGAGAGGTGCTAGTCCTTCTTGAGGCAGGTAGTTCAAAAAGTGATGGCAGGACTCCTGCCTAACCCTGTGGCAGGATCCAGAGTCCAAGGCACAAAATCCCAATTTGGAGTTCTCACATGGTCACACCTCCTTCCCCTGCCCCCTCACCCTTGACCACTAATGTTTGGGCAGTTTCCTTGCTTTTGCGCAGTTTTCTCCTCCATTCTAAAAGGCTGAAATACTTCTAAGGGTTAGTTAATGGTAGCAAGAACTTGAAGCTAAACACACTGGCATGTGTGATCCTGCCTTTTGCCTTCAACCCTCACACACCACAGGAATGTGGTCCCCAAAAGTGCTTCCAAAATAGAATTTGGCCCTCAGGATTAAAGTGGTTTGACACTTATGGGTACTAACCCAGAGCAAGTGCCATAAGGTACCATCTTGTCCCCAGTACTCTTCAAAATTACACAAAACTGTAGGAAGAGATCTTAGAAGTTTCACATGCTCAGTATGTTGATGATCCCCAATGATCCTACTGCAAAACTGGAGAGACAGTGAATACTCTGAGCTAGTGCGTAGACTTGATAATGGACCGAATGAGGAGTAAATCTAAGGGTCTTCATGGCTGAGTTAATGAAAGCAGATGGAATTGCTGAACTAGAAGCTGGTCATTCCTGGATGATTCCCATTATATTAAGTTGAACTAACTTCAGTTGTTACTTTCAAAAAAAGAGAAAACTCTGACAGGAAAACATACAAGGTAAAACATACTGGTACTCTTCTTGGAGGAGAAGGGGGAAATAACTGATTCAAAACTTAAGAGCAAATATAGAACTACCTGAAGTCTTTAATGACTGATTGCTTACATTTCAGTGCTGTCTTTACTTGTAACTGGGAAAGAAATGTTTGGTAATATTGCCAACATCTGTATGAGCCCTCAAGTTAGGAAACTGACACTACTGCTCTTGCAGTGCCTCTATCTCCTCAAACCCTGGGACCCTAAAATGCTGTAGTACTCACTCTCTCATTCTTGTTGTATATCTCTTCTTCTCCTTAGGTCTGTATCCTTCCCTAAAACATTGTTCCCTGATTGTTTTCTCTGTCTTGGTTTCAATAGGCCTTCCTCACCCTTTTACACTTTCCTCCCTCGCCCAGTTTCAGCCTACCCAATAGACAGTCCATTACACTGTAACAAGAGGCTTTCATTCCTGTATACACCAGTGGTGGCCTGATTCACCTGCTATCCCCTCCCAGCTCCTCTCTGGATCCAACAGCTTCACCTCTTCTTGACGTGAGCTCACTGGCAACAGCAAACAGGGATTCCCAGCCAAGGAAGTTGATGGCTTTCCCAGGGTATTTTCCTCTTGTCAGCAAAGACAGCTCCCTACTTATACTTGATTATTTTTAATCCTGAGACTGCAATTGCTTCATTGAAGTTATTTCAGAAACATTTCACCTAGAGGCATCAAGCCCTTGGTAAAATCCTTTATTCACTGTACTGAAGGAGACACCCAGTAGCAGTATCATTGGAGCACCACCCACATCTCCACCAGTGTTTCCAAACCACAGTCTCTGCTGATCTTTATGACTCTACAGTTTTCCATTAAGTATCACACCGGTGTTCACTAGTTTACTTTTGACCTTCTGGATTTTTTCTGGCAGGTTTCATGCAGGCTCTAAATATGTCTAACAATTATTTTGAGAAGAGCAAGTAATTCACTTGCACCTACACAAAGACACATATGCCTTAAAAACTATTTTTATTGCAAAGCCATAGGCCCTGTACAAACCTAGGGTGATGTAGGATTAGCACCCTCAGACAGCACCCACAGGATCATTTCACTTGGGCATCACATAAAGAATGTTTTAACTGTGCTGTCCTACTCACAATCTACATCCACCCAGCTTAACAGTATATTTCTCCCTGCTTTTCAATCAAAGCTTAACATTTATTTTTTTATTAAAAGCTTTTATAGACCGTCCCATTACTAACAAGAGAGATGGTGTGTGTGATCATTTATTCCAGATTTGATAAAATGTAGTACAAGAATTTTGGGCAGACTGATGTACCACTCCTAATTGTTAAGTTGCTGGCTTGACTTGTTGCTTGTGCTTATTATGACCCCCCCACACACACACACAGAAACAATCAGCAAAAAGTTTCATTATTTCCCATCTTATCCTTCCCATCTTAACCTTAGCCCACATTCCTCTCCTTACATGTGAAGTGAGAATCCCATGTTTTCTCTTCTGAGATACTTTGAGGCAAATGCAGTCGATGCATGTTTAATCAGAAATGCCTGCTGAATCCAGTAAAGCTTACTCTTGAGTAAATGTAATGTCAATGTTGCCATTGACATTTCAGTCACATACTTCCTCTTTGCAGGTGTGCAAGCACCTGGTAGCTCAGTCACATTAACAAAACTGTTCAAGAATGAACACAGGCACTTTGGGCTCAGAAGATCAATGGGGTGTGCTGTACGGAAGAAACCAATTTGCTGGCACACTTAAGCAAAGAAACCATTCAGCCTAAGAAAAGAACTATTCTTTTGCCAGGTCTCATATTTGTCTTCACTGTCCTCCTACTGCAGGTTTCAGGACCTGTATCACGTCAGGCACACCAACATGCAATTCCTCTCTTGGCTTGGAAAGCGTTATTTTGGTCGCTCTACCTGCCTCTGTCCCATCCCATCTTCCCGTCCCCATCTCAGAACTCCCCAAACTGCCAGTCTTTGAAAAATTCTGCCACTGGGAGACTGTTCCCACAATTGATCTATTATTTATTTTTTTGCACGTCTCCCCATTTTAGGGTTTTGCTTCTCAGTGTAGCCTTTGCTACGTGAAGAAGCCGAGGAAGGGGTGGGTGGAATGACATATGATCAGGGAGAAGGGACCCGGTCGCTTCCAACGTGGTAGGGTCGGCGCGGAGAAGACAACGCACGGACACACTCACCAGTGTCCTGGCGGAACTGGTGCATAGATTGCAGATCGATGATATACGGCGAGAGGCGATTGTCCACCTGTCCTAGGACCACGCTTCCCCCGGTTCTCGGCCCGGCTCGGATCACCGCCTCGATGTGGTGGCTCACTGCCGGGCTGTAGGGTCTCCAGCGACCGTGTTCGTTCAGCCATTCCCAAACCACGACGGCGGAAGCCAGCAGCATATTTTTAGCAATCTCCTCCAAGAAAACCAGCGCTCCAGATCCCGAGCAGCGAATGGAGCCCCCTCTCGTCTGCTCAATGTCCGATCGGTCTCATCTACCCCCTTTAAACTCTGCAACGTCACGGCCACTGGCTGGTTGGCTGCTCCTTGGATCAGTTCCAGATTTTGTTCTTTTGAAAATTATTTCTC